TAAGCATTGGGGTCAAAGCTCAAGGCACTATGTGGACACAAATGGATGCATACTGCATGAGACACCAGATGCTAGACCTTTTATTTATTACCCCCCTTTTATTTGATTGTTTGTTTGTTATTGCTTTTTATTCATTCTGTGTTGTGTACTGTTTTTATACTGTTCCATGCTCACTGCTTGTAGCACTTTGGGATTTGAAGTCAAATATGAAGTGCTTTATAAATGACACCCATTATTATTATAATGCAAAAAGGAAAAAGGACAAGATTTGGAACGCAGCAGTGATTTGTTTTTTTTAAGATGATGCACTAAATGATGTCGCGTGTATCAATTTTCAGGCACCATCAAATTGAAATTGAAGAACATTTAGCATTTCATTAGTGTTATGAAATTGCTCTGTCTGTTTAACAAGAATACGCAATAGGAGAAAAATCATACGTGCATTTCATATCATCAGTTGATTGGATTATAAAGGGTCAGTTTGGCTACATTACAGTACAAACAGGAGATGTTTGCTATTATTTGTCTTGGTTTTGGCAAATGTATGACAAATTATGGAATTGATACGATGATAAATCCAATCAAAAGCTGTGGTTCATATCAGTTGGGGAAAAAAGCAGGTTCACAAAGGTATAGATACGTCTCAAATACTTTATACAAAAGTCATTATTGGAATGTTGACAAGGTGACAATACAAAGAAAACACCACAAAATGGCAGTTACTGTGACTGATACACTTGTTAACTATTGCAGTGATAGTGCAAGGGTTAACACATTCTCAAAGAAAGAAAGATCAAAAGTGAACACTTGTAACTTGGCACGAGGAACATGTATATTAAAAGAGGCTATGAACCATTTCGTATTCACAAAGTATAACGTACTGTAACAAAGACAAGTCGGTTTAAAAATATGCACACATTGAGGTTCTCATATTATATATTCATTAAAAGTAACATTATAACATCCTTTCATCTGTTATACACATTCACTGGATCTCACTTCATATTACTCCATGAAACAGAATGTGATTGACATCTTTAAAAAGGAAACTTAATACAAAATAAAACTAAGAGATAGAGTTAGAAATATCAAAGATAAAAAAAGATAAGGTAAATCACTTGGAAAATGTAATAAACATCCTAATGGGCAAAGACTTGGCCAAATGAAATACAAGGATTCAAAAAGAAAGTTTAAAAAGATACACATTTCACCAAAGTAAGGCCACTCAGACAGAGCAGGAAGAGAGTTGTAAACCACAAATAAATCTACGCTCGTGTTCAAATGTTCAGATATGGTGGAAGAAAACTTAACCTGAAAGTTTGACATGTTTTTTTCCTCAATTATAAATGAACAAAAGACTTCATTATCGCTTTTGTCAGTCCCCAACATTTCGTTATTAATAAAACACTTTATTCTGAGGGCGTGTAACTCATCTTGTTGAGCTGCAGATCTATGCAACTCGTTCAGACGTACCACTCTGTGCAAATAAAAAAATAAAAAAAAACGGTAAACAACAATTTCAATCTAGGGCTTTGGAAAAGCACAGACAAAAAATAAATATGTATAAAAAATAAATAAAATGGCTGCACCCTCATGGTTACTCTAGAGTTGTAAATGGAGATTTTTGTGAGGAACAAATCTGGCCTTAGCAGGGTTCACTTTTTCGCATTTTTAGTTATTGAAATCATATTGTTGTTGATTATATACGTATTGGATCATTATTATTTTCCTGGGGGGACACAGGAATGAGAGTTGAAAATGGCAAGGCACACTTTTATCTGGTAAATCCTTTAAATTCAGGGAATACAATATCACTTTTAAGTACCTTCTCTTGACTGTAGCTGTCCAAGATATGAAACCAGTACATATTTCATCACTTCCGCTCTAATCAATAATTGACCTATTAAGATATACGACCGTATCCTAGCTACAAGCCATTCATTCGTTCCAAAAAAAAAGAAGCCTGAATTTACTCAAACCATCACAGTGGAGCTACACAGAGAGACTTTTTTGTTGACTTCACACATTCACAGTTGGCAGAGTGTAAGGCATCGAACACATGGCCTAGGTTTGAAGGGGTTTAGGTGGTGGTTGGTGGTGGTGGTGGTGGTGGGGGGGTTATTGCACAACAACACTGGGGGAATTGTGGGAACATGTTGGCCCTCCAGCCGGGCCTGGCACCCGATGCTCCCTTGAGGCTGTGGCGTGCGCACTTTGCCACTCCGGCTGATGAGGAGAGAGGTTAAAGAAGGTTAAATTACAGAGTAAGTGGTCTAGTGCCTAGTGAAACAGCTGGTTAGTGTGAAGGTTGAGTGACTTGTGTGCCGTACAGTAGCTCGGTAAATAATAACAGGAGTGATTGAAGAACAAGGAGTCCAAAACACCCAGAGTGTGAACGTGACAGTGTGTCGGTGACTTTGATAAGGCGCCATCAAACAGTCAACAGCAGCTAAGACACGTCAAGTAAAAGTTGTTGTCAAAAAAGTAAATGACCACGTTTTTTTTTTGTTTTTTTTAGAACTTTGTGAAATCAGAAGACCTTCGAATTCCGTCTTTGTCTCTCCAGCTCCTCTCATCTGCCCTCCTCGGCCGATCGAGTTTCTGATTTCAGCTTCACGAACTCCTTGGCCACGTCGTCGCTGGAGCGCTGGGAGAGGATGCGCATGGCGGTGAGGCCCGTGTCGTCCATCTGGATGCGTTGGCCCAGATAGCACCAGCACACGCAGCTGCCCTTCCCCGTGATGTCTTTGAGCTGAATGACAGCCATGCCGACCACTCTGTCTGCGCGGCCGAAGCAGTAGTCTTTGACGCAGAGTTGCAGCTCGTAACACTCAAAGCCCTCCTGGTTACCCAGAACACTGCAGGGAGAAAACAGTCATTTATCAACACAGCAGCAGGTTGGTCAACTTGGGTTAAGAATGTACAGAGGAGCACCCTGTTTAAGTAAGGCTGCGACCAACGATTATTTAGAATTGTTTGGTTTATAGACAGTATAAAAAGTGCTATTGTCTTTGGTCTTTTTTTTCCATTCTGGTTTTTGGATAGAGATTTCTCTCTATCTAATTGACAAATTAAACTATTGATCAATTACTCAACTAATCATTGCCGCTGTAGTTTTTAGTACTGAACCTGGCATCTAAAGCAGCCAAATATCATAGATTAGCCTGTTTGGCAAACATAAACATCACTGCCTAAGGTGAAATACTTTATAACGCACATCACTGTAAATGTAAATATCTCATGTATACTCTAAATAAACAAGATAAGGGGAAAACAATAACATCGCTAATGTCAAGTATCCAATGTTCAAAACATCAATAAAAAGGAGATTTCCGTGGTCCCTGTTCCTTTATTTTCATGAAGAATTAAGAAAACGGTTACTTACAATTGGAAAGTCTCGTTGAACTTTGGAGACCAGCTGTTGTTCTTGGATTTGGTCTGGAATTTGCGTTTCTTGTCGCTGAGGTTAGGCCCGATCATGGTGACCTCCACGAAGGGTCGGAACATGCCCGACGTCTGCCATTTTATATCGTTGGCTCCTATGACTAAATACGCAAAATGGCATTAAAATCACACTTGGTTTAAAATGGCCACATATTTAGCACCACGTTATGAAAAGTCAAACAGACCTTTGACGGAAACTTTCCGCTCCTTGTTCCCAGGATTCGTGTGCAGCTCAGTCTGCACTGTCACCTCACCGATTGGCTTGTCCACACCTGGAGCTGGATAAACGCACAGACAAAGAAATGAGCTTATATTTGGCCAAATAAAGGAACAAAAATGTGTAATACACAATCCAGAGTAGGTATGGAGAGGGAGTGCAGGTGGAGAGGTTGGGTTTGGGTTAAAAGTGAGGCACAAAGTGACAAAAGGTACAAAGAGGGAGCGGTTGGGGAGGCAGAAAGGGGCTAGCAGAAGATTTAATGAGACCTACCCCTGCTGGGCTGTGCTTTCTCATTGGGAGTCAACCTCATACCCTTCCCATTGTGCACTGGCACAGAGGCAGCAGAGGAGATAAAAGAGAAGACAGCAACAACATGTCAACACAATTCTGCATCAAAAACACTTCAAACACACAGGTGCAAGGACGGGGTATTATCAAACACACTATATGGAGGTAGATTTGTGTAAATATTATTTGTGTGACCAAATCGATAATCCGTGTGTAATCTGTAAATGTAAAAAACTTCCAAAATGGCGAAAAAATATTTAGAAATTATAAAACAGATGTGCCAATATAATAACAAATTCAACAAATAAAATACATCTGTGAAAACATTCAATTAATTTACAATTAAATGAAAAGCATTTGTAAATATATATAACAGTGACAACTTTCTAACAGGAATTAATGAGTTTTTGTTATTATATTTATGAATGGAGAAATTATTTTACTTTTACTCTCGACACACAGACAGTAGGGCTGCTCAATTATTCGTATTTTAATCGCAATTACGATTTTGGCTTGCAACGATTATGAAAACAACATAATCAAGATAAAACGATTATTTTGAATTGGTTTTTCAGTTGAATTATACTTAAGTTCAGGGTAATCAGCTGTTAAAAGCATGCTGTTCAATTTTTTTTTGATGTTTTCAAGGTAAATGGATAATTGTTTTTAATAATCGTGATATCAATTATTGACCCAAATAATTGAGATTACGATTTTTGCCATAATCGAGCAGCCCTAACAGACAGCAACACAAACTATGTGTTTATGACGTGGTTTCCACATTTTAAAATAAGAGCATGAGGTCGGATTATTTGCAGATCCGTTATCTTTTCAAAATCTTTTCTTGAGTTTACAATTATGTTTGTGCATTTGTGGAAGGTGTTTGCAGATTACACATTTACACACCGATTTTCAATCAGTTTACACAATAAGCCAATCCAACTCCATGTACATAGTGCCCTCTCCTGGTCTAACATGGGACACTTTTCAGATACCTTGTGCTTGCTGGGTGGTCACAAAGGTCTTGATGAGTGTGTCTGTTGACTGAGTGTAGAGGGACAGCGCGTGGCGTAGCGACGATAGCTCGGGACTTTTCTCCAGGAACGCCTTCTTCAGCCCGTTGCCTCCTGCGTGGAAGTATTGCTGCAAAGGAAAACCGAGAATGAGTCGGCATATAAAAGTCTGGAAGAACAACTGGTGGTTTACTGTATTTTGGTCAAATAGTAATAGGAACTCTAGATCAAATAAATAACTCCTTAGCAAGATGAATACACATTTCATTTGACTAAAATTACTCTAGTCTGTACTCTACATCTAAAGGCAATATTCCAAAGATATAAGAGCCCAGATGTACATCCTCTAATCCAAAAACCCCAATGGCTTCTTAATTATATTTCAATATCAAGAAAAATAAAAAATCACTGTATTTTGAAACAAAAAAAAACTAACTGAGGAAAAACTGAGGTTTAAAAAAAACATAATAATTTTAACATTTTCTTTACAAAATCTTCTAGCTTTCAAGCTGCTTACATAACCTTTTAGAATACTTGATTAATGGATGAATAGTTGATGAATGAAACCAAAACCTGCAGTATAAACTGACCTTGATTGTGTCCAGTGCCACATCCATGACAGCACACTGCCTGGGAGACAGGCTTTTAGCCTCCCCCGCCATGTGATCCTGCACATCCACATGGAGAGCAAAGACACAAGTTAAATCCACAACACATCTATTAAAGTCATTTAATCTAACATGCTTTAAAATATTAGAATATTCCATTTACAAAAAGTACTTTTAATCAAATCTGCATATTCTGTTAAAGCTGCACTAACATGGAACTCTATCCCAGCAAGCACAATAACATTTCTTGTGTCATGTTTTTGTTATTATTAGCATTTCCTGTATAATGAGTGCCTATATCGCACACTGCTATTGTTTTATTAACTTAAGAGTATTTCAAAGTATTATAATTAGTTTGTTTCAGGTTTTTTGTCCCGGGATGAAAAACAGACTCACTCTGCTGCTTTAACAGAAATGTCTTTTAGTTTGCACTGACCCTGTTAAATAAACTCACAATAATAAACATGAATAAATTATAGTACCTTGAGTTTGGAGAGCTGACCCAGTTCTTTGGCAGCTGAGAGAATCTGTGCTCCCTGAAAAAGAAAGAAAGAAGGGGAATTCATTTTGTTGCTGCGGTTATAATATGACGTTTCACTGTAAATGTAGAATGCTGTTGAGCTTACAAAGGTGTCGTTCCCCTGTGGCAGGACTATAGTCTTCTCCAGGCTGCTCATTACGATCCTCCACAGCTCCTTCAGCACACGCTTCAAAACGGTCTTCTCACAAGCAGTGGCAAACAGTGTGAGCCTGCAAACACACAATACATTCAGCAAAGTGTGGAAGTAAAATGTTTCCTTGTTGTTATATATTGTTGGGTAGTTTAATCTACAACGGACAAGGTTCTCTAGGGGCACCTTTGAAATTGTCTAACTGTGGTAATATTGGCAATTTATTGTATTATTCATCCACTCACTTTCCATCCAGGAAGTCCATGAGTGGCCGCAGCATGTTGTCAGAGTCGGCGTCCACCTGGTTTTTGTTGTTGTCATTGAGCGGCCCTTTGATCTGGTACAGCAGGGACGCCATCTGTCGCATGCAATCGTTGATGCAGCTCTGGAAACTACAAAGGAAAAAGAAAATGATCGATCGGCACAAATGCATGTGTAGTCACAGATTTAAATGTAAATCAATGTGTTTTTAGGATTAGGATACCTGTTCCCGAATGTTCTGCTGAGCTCATCCAGCACGTTGTTCAGCTTCACCTGCAGGTCGTTCAGCAAGTCACTAGCCTCAGAGTCCATCTGCAGAAAGGATCCAAGAAGGGTCTTTTTTTGAATGTACAAAATAAAAATCCTAAATATTTAAACTCCAAAGTATGTGCTAGTTTTAGAGCTAATGTAATTATTTAACAGCCATTTAGAGAAGGCTTCATAATTGCAGATATTAGAATCAAAATCCATCCAATAAACTTGCTGCACTTAAGCGCAAATTCTAGAAGATACAAGTAGAAGCAAGAGTATAAGACTTTAAATAAATATCTTCATTAAAAATGTACACCGATGCCACCAGTCAAGCTTCATACGAAGGGGGTCCCAAAAAGAGGAAAGAGGCAGGTTTTATGCTGCATTCATGTTGTGTCGCAATGACCTTAAAAAAGGAATACTCAAAAAAATGTTCAAGCAAATCAGAAAGTCTGAGACATTTTTGCAACAAGACTTGCGGAAGTTCACCTCGTGTTACGCAGAAAAATGGCGGACAAAAGTGATAGTAAAAATGTTTAATATTAATCCATACAGTATGAAACAATATAGAATTAGGTAGTAACTACTAGTTGCTGTAGAGTGACCCAGTGTTTCCCCTAGGCTTACTGCTTTGGGGGGTGCTGTCTGAATTATTGATTCATGCATCTGTGTTTTTTAGGGTCAAAAACACTAAACTCATAACTTAAAATGAAAGTGTTTAGTTTATTTAATAAAATAACACATGTTCAATGTGAAATGTGACAGTAGATAGATTAGCTGCAATTTGGTGCTATAAATATGTATTATTAAAAAAACAAAACAACTTGAATTTCAGGGGGGGCCGCGGGGCTAGTCAAGACAACGGTAGGGGAAACACTGGTGACCTCTAAATGGCAAAGTCAGATATATCCGAGTTTTGGTATTTTTATGAAAATTGCTGTTGAAACAAGCCTGGGAAATAACTCTTATTTTCTAGCTAGCATTTAGTTTCACAGCTCATGGACATACCCACGTCGGAACTTCATAACATTGCAACTGGGACTATCCAATGGCATGCAAAAGCACCAAAACTGTAATAATATTTATAATATACACTCCATCACAAAAGTCACAATTGTGGTTTGTAAAGAGTAGAAGACATTATTAAAATTCAAGGCACACATCGGTATAGGANAACAATAGTCAAACGTGAACGAAGAAGCTGATGAGACCGCTTTGGTTGGCTGACGCTTCCATCCGTCCGTTTTTTAAAACAAAATGTCCCATCCACGGGGGCCAACCAAAGCGGTCTCATCAGCTTCTTCGTTCACGTTTGACTATTGTTCACTGTGGTTTGTTGTTGTCTGAAGTAATGAACGTTAGTTGGTGCTCCAGTATAATCGGTACCCCTGAAACTCATCCAGTGAGAAACGTTCCGCGGTGCAAAAATAAGTGCGATTAAAATGCGTTAATTTTTTTAACGCGTTAATTTTTGTGTAATTAATTAATCTTAATTAACGCGTTAAAGTCCCGGCCCTAATAAAAAGCAATAACAAACAAACAATCAAATAAAAGGGGGGTAATAAATAAAAGGTCTAGCATCTGGTGTCTCATGCAGTATGCATCCATTTGTGTCCACATAGTGCCTTGAGCTTTGACCCCAATGCTTAAACAGTATACCCCCTGCAAAGGATTGTGGGTCGGAATAGCCATAAAATAAAAGCATGCTTGCTTGCATACAGTATAATGCAGGTATTTTTGCATATTGAATTGGACAAACAATATATCGGGACTTTTTTCTTTTGGTAGTATGGGTATTTGTGCATACATGCAGATACTGTAGGCATCTATGTACATGTGCACGCACACACACGACACACACAATAACTAATTTAGCAAGCATGTTGAAGTCCCCTGGATGACACCGGGTTCCTTTGTGTTTGAGCACACATATTAAATTCCATTTTGGAAGAGCATATCAGTCAGGAAGTCACAATATCTGGAGCTGTCATTTTAAGTAATTTATCAAAAATGTGACAGATGATTGGCATTTCCTGCATGTAAGTATATGTAAACTGTATTTAGACACTGATATTGTAGAGGTAAGTCCCCAGTGTGAGCATGCGCAGCCTCACAGGGTGTGTTACATACCTGACCGCCCCTATTACAACCCTAACGTTGGCCCTGATTGGCTGTAGCCGTTCACCTGTACTGTTGTTTTACAGCCCCCGTCCTGCCCCGTTTTACCATCCAGGTCCAAAGATCGCTGCAGTGTTTACTCAAGGCCCTGAGCTGTTGGCCGCGGGGGGATCCCAGCTCTTCCTGCTCGAACCTGAAACCTCTGCTGCAGGCGCCTCTGTCACCACTCCACCTGTCGTCCATCCTGCGTGTCTTTCATCCCGGCTGGAGACCCCCGTCTGTCCTCTCTGCTGGAGCCTGGACGTCCAAACAGACCTCTATAAGGCCTGGATTTACTTTATTTAAAGCAGAGGCAAATGGAGGATTGAAATTTGTTTTTGTCCTCTATTTTTTTTTGTTAGGGCCCTCTGTTCCTGAGTCTGTGTCTGCGGGAAAACCCATTTTTGTTTCAGGTATGTGGCTGTTTTACATTTGGTTGCACACCTTGGGGAATCGGTGGATGACATGTACATGCGCTTTTGAGGAAATGGGCGCACGTTTTAAACCCTTAGAAAGGTCATGTATTTCAAATGTTTCTCTCATTTCAAAGTCCAAGCCTGGTGGCACACTTCCGATTCACAATAACTCTTTCAAAGTGTTGTGAGAACAACAACAGAGTGAGTTTGGAACTGGCTTTAGTTTTGGATCTATATAACAACACGGGGCCAAGCTATTAGCAGTAGTGTAGTTGTGAGAAAAGTGTTTTTCTCTAAGGTGTAGGATATATTTGACTTCTATCGAAAAGGAATACAGTATAGAATAGTAGCTGGTTTATTTTATTTGCTATATATTCAGGCAGGCACCTTCCTTTGGCTTACTTTTATTGTTATGAATTTCACCCTGAACATTTCCCACTCTTCCTTTTCCACTTTTGAAAGGATCTGTTGTTCCAAGATCATACAAAATCCCAACTATGAAGCAAAAACAAGATGTCCTGTTTTGTATTTGAAGTCTTCTTCTGCTCACCTGATTCAGAACAAGTCAGAGGTTCACGGTCATATCGCAATCGTAATCTTTGCGATCATGGATTATGTGCCAAAGACTTCACTGTGGTACAAAGGGTTGAGAAGGGAGCGGTTAGATGTGTCTTTACAGCCCTGCAGCACAGATAACGTCTCGTGGATGTTGCCTGGTATTGTCTCAATGAACGAGCTGTGTGTTTTCTCACTTAACGGGGTCCTATTATGCTCATTTTCTGGTTTCATATTCAAATTCTGGGCCTCTACCTTGACATGTTTTCATGATTTAATGTCCAAAATGCTTCATTTTTCTCATAATACCGGTTGTGATTGGTCCACTTAGAGATTTCCCGCTCATTAGCCTATCACGTACAATGTGTTAGAGCGAGTGTTACATAGTGATGTCACTTAAAAAATGTATTGTTTTTTTTACATTTTTTATTTATTTAGTCAGGAATTTAAAGAATTTTCCAATTAGGAGTGAATAAAATATATTTAATATAATTTAATCAATTGTATGTCTTGTTCCAGGGAGTCCTTGACCATTTTCCTTTGTAGTCCTTAGTTCCATGACGAACAGCTACTTTAAAAAGCTTGCAATTAACATCAAAAGATGGTCTCCAGCCTTGGCTAACTAATTACATTTACTAATAACACCACATGTGATGCATGATGACACAAGTGTATAATGGAACACACCTTGCTGTTTAAGGCAAAAAAACATATTTTTTCGTTGTTTTTTTATCCCCCGTTTCTCACTTACAATTGTTTTTGCTTAAATTAAATCACTTATTTCCTCTGCTAGCACTTGGTCATCTATATATCTTTTCATACTGAACCAAAGCTAAACACAAACATGACCTACCATAAATAAACTTCTTCCCCCTCACTCATGCCAGTTTCCCTTTTCAGTCGATACTGTATGTCTGTATGGTCTAACTAAAACGAAATGTATCTTCACTTCAATAAGTTCTATTTATTCTGTGATGGGTAAACACAAGCTCTTCCTCCAGGTGTGAGATATGGAGAGCTAAACATGGGATCCGTAACGTCCTTCTTTGGCGGGTTGTGTGGGAAAGAGGTGAAGATAGGTGAGTCAGGAAGCTCCCAAATGTTATTGTGTGTCTGTACTGTATATGTCCTAAACTAAAAGTGTGTAACATACAGTACATGGACTCATGGTACTGATGCTTACATAATTCATTATTCTTTACTAACAGAGGAGGAGAGACTTTTTCGAGCTAACGACAGACCGTACAACCTCTCCTACCAATATGCTGTAAGTATAGACACAAAGCTCTGAGCAGAAGTAATATGGCATCAAATGAGGCTTATGTCCCTTCATGCTTATGTCCCTTCATGTGTAACTATTCTGTCCTTCAGAACAACGCCATCCGGACCTCCAAATACAATGTTTTCACCTTCCTGCCACTCAACCTCTTCGAGCAGTTCCGGAGGCTCGCCAACGCCTACTTCATGTTCCTCATGGTCCTGCAGGTAGACATTTCTCTGTATTTACCTACTCTAGTGCTGTGATGCATGTCGACACGGACTGTATTAGGGGTCATTTTACTTTTTTCAATGAGTACGGATTATTACAAAATGTAGCTAGCCGTTTGGTGATGTCTATGCTGCAAAAATGGGTACTAATTTTAATGTTTTACATTTTTTATTATTTTACTTTTTAAGTTCATGGATTTTCTGTCCTATGCTAGGTTCTCAATTTCATCTTTTTTTATCAATGTTTTGTGATTTTTACTTTTTCCATCATTTGTATACTTTTGTATTAGTTTAATTGTTTTTGTCTATTTTCCTTGAGTGCTTCCTGCTGCATTTCTTTTATGAAAGTTGCTATAAAAAGTTATTATTATAATATTGTTATTATTATAGTGAGAATCGTGGCAGAAATTTGACCTTATTTAGCCTCACGAATATTGAAACTGTGCATCATGAACAGATGCATAATATTAAAGCATTGGTGTGTGTTTGTGTCAACAGCTGATCCCACAAATCTCCTCTCTCTCGTGGTTCACGACCGCCGTCCCTCTGATTTTAGTGCTGTCTATAACAGCAGTCAAAGACGCCAGCGATGACATAGTAAGTTCTAATTATCACAATTTAACAGAACTAAAGAGGAACCACACTTAATACTGGGGCAGAATATGACTTACTGAATTCAAAAATATAATCTAATTTATTTTCATTTTGTTCCATGACACCTGAGTAGAACAGACACACAAGCGACAAGCAGGTGAACAACCGCATGGTAAACATCCTCATCGATGGAGAGTAAGATATTCAACACTGTATACTTTTAACATGTTACACAGCAGTTTTAGGCTTTGAAAGCTCATATTCTGTTTGATGTTCTGTGAATTCATGTCATCTTCTTTTGTATCTTGTCAGACTAAAAAAAGAAAAATGGATGAACGTGCAGGTTGGAGACATCATCAAACTGGAGAATAATCAGTTTGTCACAGTAAGTATGGACATGATTGTTAACTGTGTGTTCATTATGGCGTTTTATAGCGTAAAGCTCATCTATATACATTGATGCTTTCAGTGAAAACAGCTAGAATAAGTCAAAGTTCCCACAAGTGATTTTTATCTAATCTTCTATCAGTTAACCATTCTGTTTTCATTTAAGGCGGATCTTATGTTGCTGTCCAGCAGCGAGCCTCTCAACCTGGTTTACGTAGAAACAGCTGAGTTAGATGGGTGAGTGTGCAGAACCGTCTGTCTGTCTGTCTGTCTGTCCATCCGTGTGTGTGTGACTTACGGCTAACGTCTCACACTGTCCTTCCTTCTCATGTCCTCTTGGTGTCCCCCAGTGAGACCAATCTGAAGGTGAAGCAGGCGCTGACTGTAACCGGGGATTTGGGGGACAGCACTGACCTCCTGGGTCACTTCAATGGTAAAAATCTGAAATAAGAAATGAATCCAAGATTTTGTCAGAATCCCAATCCGGTTTATTGCCCAGTAGTTTTACACATACAAGGAATTTGCTTTGACGCATAGTGCCATGGGTGAAAACAATGGAAGGAATGAAGTTGTACAAAAACATGTAAAAGCTATTTTAAAAACTACAAAAAAAAGAAATGTTTACAAGAATAATTTACAAAGGAATATGGCAATTTATGATATATGAAAATTGAAATTATTATAGGGAAAACATATTGAGGGGAAAAGGTTTTAAGTGGATTTTCATTCAAATGTAAGTTTGCTGAATGTGATTTGTAATATTTTTGTATTAGAACTGAAGGTAAGAATCTATTAATATTTGTTCTTATGTAAACCTCTAAGAATCGAGCCAAATAACATATCTACCTCGTGAATGGCTCCAATGTGATATATAATAAACATGTTTTGATAACAGTTTCCTTTTATGTAACACGCTGCAATCAATGCCGTTCTTCATATGTCTGTATTAACACAGGCGTTTCAGTGTATAACTTCCACACGATACTTTGACATGTTACTTGGATATGTTGCTGACACTAGCCTCGGTCTCTCTCAGGTGAAGTCCGATGTGAGCCTCCCAACAACCGGCTGGATAAATTCAAAGGAACCCTGTCTCTGGACGGACAGACCTATTCTCTGGACAACGACAAGGTGCTGCTCAGAGGATGCACGCTGAGGAACACCGAGTGGTGCTTCGGTCTGGTCATCTTTGGAGGTTAGTAGTTCCTCAAGTCTGCTAACGCTTAATGCTAATGTAGTCCAAAAAACGCACGAGGACAGGTACATTTCATTTGGGTTGCACCGCTTATGTGGGGCCAAGAGAGGGCGCTAATGCTACACACAACAGACTAGGCCAAGTTGAGCAAATTATATATTTAAAACACAACGAAATACGCAATAATAACGGTAAATACAGCAGTGAATATGTAATAAATGAAATTTAAAAAGATAAAGCCACGTTAAGGTATATATAATTATTTAATGACACTGATTTAGCTTCAAGCTATTAATATATTTGGCAAAACATAAGCTAACTGTTACCACTTTACTACATTCAGTTCGAATTTTATAAGCTTGAAAATAGCTTGCATTTGTCATTACAGGCCTACATTCATTTGTAAAGTATACACTTGATGAGAAAACAATGTATGCTTAATTAAAATGAATCCACAATACCATAATTATAAAATTCCTGAAGACTTAAAGGTGGGGTAGGTCATTTTGGAGAAACCAGCTCGAGTGCGCTAGAATTTGAAAATACACAACCAACACACGCGAACGCGCACATGTCCAATGAGGGCACGAGATAAGTTTGTGCACAGATGGAAGGCTGACAGGCAGGTAGGCCGTCCAGTTATTTTAGCCGGGCCGGCTAAAATGATTGGTCGTGCTTTTTACAGTACTACGGCTTCCACAGATGACATTTTTTTATCGATTTTTTGTCAAAGCACAAGATATGCATTGCTATCGAGATGTTAAGAGCATTCCATGGAATATAACAAAAAGTGTATCCTGAGCCGGTTTCTCAAACTTACCTACCCCACCTTTAACATTAAATGTGAATGGCTTATTAGGAGTGTCTGAGGTGGATTTTGTACCTTTGCTTACATGATTTTCAATGCATCTAAAAAAGAAGTTGAATGTTTCCAGGTCCAGACACCAAGCTGATGCAGAACAGTGGAAAGACCACATTCAAACGCACCAGCATCGACCACCTGATGAATGTCCTGGTGTTGTGTGTGAGTGTCTTGTCCATGCTCACTGCCACACAAACACAAACACGCGCTCAGCAGAAAAGGTTTTCTTACGTTATCTAAGTGTTCATATTACAGTAAATATGTTATACATTTGCTTTGCTACTTTGTTGTAGCAACAAATGCAATTGGGTATTTCATTTTTATGACTGTAGTTTTCTCATCAAATAAACTATTTAACAATTAAACGAAATTACGATTAATGTGGCTGAAATTTCCCATTGCAATGCTAAAGAAATAGGGGAAAAAAGCATAATATAATTTCAGGATTGTGCACTGCTTGATTTTGCAATAACTAATCGACTCCTTTAACAAACAGTGACAATAAATACTTTTAAAAAACACTGGGAAAAACCTTGTGTGTGTCTTTCCTCTTCCTGTTTTTTTGTTGTTAATGTACAAGTCAATGTGTGCTATTCTGAATCCATCAGATCTTTGGCTTCCTGGCATCCATGTGCACCATTCTGGCCATCGGCAGTGCAATCTGGGAGGTAAGGGAGGGCTCTGTGTTTACGGTCTTCCTCCCTCGTGATCAGGGGGTCGGTGCTGGCCTCACATCCTTCCTCTCCTTTTGGTCCTACGTCATCATCCTCAACACGGTGGTGCCCATTTCGCTTTATGTCAGGTAGGTACAGAAATCGACAACATTTATCGTGACGCCTTCAGAGTCAGTTGTCTTGCGTCTTACACGGATCCCTTTTTGTTTGAACATCAGTGTGGAGATCATCCGCCTGGGGAACAGCTTCTACATAGACTGGGACAGGAAAATGTATTACCCAAAGAATGACACCCCTGCCCATGCGAGGACCACCACCCTCAACGAGGAGCTGGGCCAGATCAAATACATCTTCAGTGACAAGACTGGAACTCTGACGCAGAACATCATGGCTTTCAACAAGTGCTCTATCAACGGGAAAGCCTACGGTGAGCTGCTCTGATAACGATAAACTGCTTAATGTGGGAATGAGTTAGGATGATAAGATGTCTGAAATAAGGTCTCTGTTATTCAGGGGAGCTGTTTGACTTCTCTGGACAAAGAGTGGAAATAACTGAGGTGAGAGGAGAAAACTGATACACAGTTTTTTATATATTTGTGAATCTTGTCTCCAGCTCTTTAGTTTCTCTGTCTGCTTCTTTTCTCTCCGCAGAAGACAGAGAGATTGGACTTCTCCTGGAACCAGCTGGCGGATCCCAAGTTCATCTTTCACGACCACAGTCTGCTGGAGACGGTGAAGGAGGCGAACCCAGAGGCTCAGGACTTCTTCCGCCTGCTGGCTCTGTGCCACACAGTGATGCCCGAGGAGAAGAAAGAGGGTGAGCGACCTCTAGTGGCAAGGCTTTGTTACTACATGGCTGCATAACAGAAGAATCACATTGCCCATGTTCTGTCTCTGGTGATTATTTATCTGTTGATAAAAGGCAAAAGTTAACTAAATCTTAGTGAATACAAAAAACATTGTAAAATAAAAAGTAGCAGTACTAAATAAAAATAACAATAATAAACTAAAATATAAGTTATTGAAGGAGCCAGGAAAGAATTCAAGACTAATCGTAAAAATAAACTGTATAGTGCACATTAAGACAACATAGTAAAAAATAACACATAGAGATACTTCTGAAATATACAGATCGCTTCTCTTTTTTACTCTAATATATTTTCCTTTTTTATATGAACCATTTACCAGGTATCATTTGAGATATAAAGCCAACATGCTCTCTCGTGACCCAGTGGAGGAAAGCAATGCCTCCCACTACAGAAATCCTCACATTCTAACTTTTTTTAAATTCTTTCTTTTAGGAGAGCTGTACTACCAGGCTCAGTCTCCTGACGAGGGCGCTTTGGTGACCGCAGCGAGGAACTTCGGCTTTGTGTTCCGCTCACGCACACCGGAGAGCATCACGTTAGTGGAGATGGGAAAACAAGTCACATATGAACTCCTGGCGGTTCTTGACTTCAACAACGTGCGAAAGAGGATGTCAGTCATAGGTGAGAGAAATATGTGCTACATTTTATTTATTTTGTTTCAGTTTTTGCCAAAACTTGCTGTTTGAAGATAGTAGGTAAAAATGTTCTTAAGATATTTAATCAATAACAATGCCCTCACTAATGATTTGCAGTGCGTAGCCCTGAAGGCAAGTTGACTCTATACTGCAAAGGAGCAGACACCATCATCTATGAGAGACTACACCCGTCCTGCAACAAGCTGAAGGAGGTCACCACGGCACACCTGAACGTGAGCCATGCAGTTAGATTTATGTAATATGTTTGGTGATATAACACACTAAACACTCAGCAATCGTCAGGATTTCTTTAATTTGACCTGTTCTGAACTGAAACAGGAGTATGCAGGCGACGGTCTCCGGACTCTGGTCCTGGCCTACAAAGATCTGGATGAGGAATACATGGATAAGTGGAGAAAGCGCCACCATGAGGCCAGCACCGCCATGGACGGCCGAGAGGAGATGCTCGATGAACTTTACGAAGAGATAGAGAAAGACCTGCAGGTGAGTCTGGACTGGGTTGTATAAAGAAAATCATATATCACATTATTTTTGACCAAATACCTCAATAAAGATATTGTGATGATATTGTAAGGTTGACCATTGATGCTTGTGTTAAGGGTTGCAAAGGGGCGGAAAGCTTCCGGTAAATTTCCGGAAAGTTTCCATGGGAAGTTAAGCTGGGGAATTTTGGAAATATTCTATGCAAAATTAAACAAAAACATGACATTTCAACAGATTTAAAAAAAAAAAATTATTGAACAATTATTTGTTTCATTGAAGAACGAAAACAGGAATGTTGAGTTAAATGTTACTCATCCCCCCCAACCCCACTCACCCTTCTCCCTCCAAACAGTCCCATTAAATATGCAAATCTTCCTTCAAGCGATCCTCTGCATTGTTTACCCTTTCAGTCAATGGGCTCTTCCTGGGCCTCATCAACATCCAACTCTGAGTCTTCCTCTTCAGTGTCACTGTCCAGCCTTGTTGAGGATGGCTCTGTGTCAGGCTCAAAGAGCCTTTGGTTTGCCCGAATGCCAACTAGTTTTTCCACTCTCACATTTGTGAGCCTGTTGCGAACCTTTGTGTGGTCTCAATAGCCATTCAGTAAGCAGTGTGCTATGGCATGGATATTCAAGTGTACTTGAATGGCATCGGTTTGTTTTAGTCAAGATTATGCTAAAATATGCTTTCCCCAACTATATTTTAGTTCCCTATGAAGAGCCAACCTTCAATTTTGAAAATTCCCAGTTTATTCCCATAAATTCCCTTTTATTCCCGTTAATTCCCGTGGAAAGTTTCCATCTTTGAAAATTCCCGGAATTTTGCAACCCTACTTGTGTTACAATTTGGTTTATGCAATGCTCAAGGCGTCTTTCAGGGTATGATCAATGATGTGTTGATGGACTTTCTCAACAAGTTTGTCTTTGTCT